AATATGATTTATTCCTAATCTTTCAGACTTTTAGAAAGCTGGGGCAGTGTGACTCGTGGAGACCAGGGAAATTTTGGGGCAATCCAGTCTTCTTTGAAAGACAACTAGATTCAGGTATTGCCCATGATATACTTGCCCATAATATTATAGACTGGGGATGGTCTGACAAGTTATTTTCCCTTGTCACAGCTGCTGGCCCCCCATATGGGACAGCACTGGGGGAAGGAGATGGGGCACAGAACGAGAGAAACCGTTGCTCCTGGGTGCAACACAGTAGAGTCCGTATATCTGAAAACACCCAGAAGAATGGGTAAAAACCTTGTGCTGGGGGGGATTTCAGCTCAGTTTTTATGCCTTATTCTGCATTCCCCGCACATCTCACCCTCTTTCTGCCAGGTTATATCATGGTTTTCCAGCAGAGGGGGAGATAGGATCACTTGTTCCACCACCAAGCCTCTTGCTCTGTCTTGTATTACTGGCATTAACAAGAAATTTAAGAAAATGCAGTATTATTGATCCCTGCATTCATAAAGCTAACACTTTTTTTTTAGTGGCCAGGACAGAGCGTTGTTTAGGAGGAGCCAATGTAGGTACCCATACGGCTTGTTCAGTAGTTTGAAGATCAGCCCCATCAAAGCACTGTAACAGTTAAGAAAATTAATTTAAAAGCCCTGCAATGTTTCAAATTTTTTATCTGTCCAAGCTATAAGGTCGTCTCTGCGGTATGGCCCTGACGCCACACTTAAGTGCATACGTCTTTTTTAGCAATATAGCCAATACAATTGCTCATGTGTTTAAGGCTAAGTGTTTACTCTGGTAGAAGATACGTTACCAGACCAGTTCGGTGTTCAGTGACACCAAATGAGGATTGGTATGTCCAGCACCAGAGCTGTGGTGGTTTTCTGGTCCTTAGGTGGACCTTTTCCACACCTCTCTGCAGCCGCTGGGTTCCGTAACTGGGACACGTGCCCGATGCACGTAAATGACACGGAGCTTTGTTGGTCCTTACCGTGCACCATCTCACCGCCAGCACTCAGTAGCTGGAGAATTTAAGCCGGGGATGAAAAACAGACGAACCTCAGGAAATGAGACGCACAACTGAGGCACAGAGGAAAAGCATGTTGGTGATTGCAGAGGTTGGTCAGCCCTGTTATCAGGACAAAACTTCTACCTGTGGTGTGAGACCATCACTGTGACAGTGACCACTCCTGCCAGCACCTGCAGACAGTGTTTGCTGTCACCCCACTGACATGGAGGATGATGACCAGGGTCAGATACAGCCTGCAGCATCCTTTCCCTGCCCTGCAGCAATGCAACACACATGGGCATGAGGTCTTCAAGACCGCAGAAACATCAACTAGTGCAGAGCATCTGCTCAGCAGCATAAACTATAGCAAACACATTGCATCTGTCTTATCCTTCTTAATACCTCTACTCCTGTCTTCTGTTTGCTATACAATATAAAGCCATCTTCCAAATTCAAACCCTGCTCTTGAAGGTGTCTGTGCTCGGATTTTGATTTTGAAGTTTAGAGATGAAGAGCTTGGTAACCAGCTTTGCTTCCTTGGCAAAATAGAAGTTATTTTACCAAGCTACTGTTCAGAGAAAGCTCTCCAGCGCTTGCAGAGAGGATGAGCGGAGAAAGCCCATGTGTGCTGCGAAAGCACGTGTGAAACAGCGAACTTTCCAAGGGCAGAGCTCCAATTGCTAGGCATAATTTCTTGATCTTGCCATATCTAACATCTTCTATAACCTCTGTACATTGCAACAATCTCTATATTTTTTTTTTAAAAACCCACCCCTGAATGAAAGGCTGTCTGCTCTGCAATTTCCCTGGGGAACCATGAGAGAACAAACAGCACATGGCAGGTGTCAGTCACATCGCTTAATGCACAACAGCAAGAAGCTTGGATACAACTTTGTGGGTATGATGTATCAAACAGAATAAAAAAGAACAGGACTCTGCCTTTAGATGTTCATAGTCTTCAATTCAGGAACGAAATTCAGATTTACAGTATTGCATGAATAATGTACTACAAACAAATTATAAATAGAATATTGGCATAAAAAAGGATGATTCCTTTTAGTAACTGTATCCCCTGCAGCGAAAACCATATGAATATACTAAAAATAAAAATCTACATATAAAGAAAATACAAATGTAAACTGCTGGACAACAACAATATTATGTTAGCTCTTGTAACATATCTTCACCCTGGAGCTAGGCTTGTGTAGACAGTCATGTTACCGAATGTCCTCTTCAGGTCCTATTTAAAAGATCAATGCATTCTGCAGGCAGAAATTAATTCCTGTTGTTGGGCCAAAGACATTTGAAGTGGAGACTTTTTGAAGTGGAACAAAATCCTGTATTGCTATCAGAGCGGAAGAGTGGGTGACCAAATTTGTTCACATTGAGTTAATCTACACCTGATTTTAAGAGTTGTAAATGAGGCGTTGTATGGCTGCTGATTAGAGGCTGGCAATGAAAAGTTCTTCAGTGTCAGGGAAAAGAGCTTTGCGATGGGAATAGTCCCAAAGTGACGATGCAAATTCCCACACAGGCTTTGCTGCAGCAAGCTCGCTGCTCACCCCAGCCTGCTCACAGCCTGTATCTCCCTGCTCCTGAAGAGCCCCAAGACTTCAGGTCATGGCTCATCCTCCTGAAGGTGACTGCGTCGCTATTGACAGCATGGCTAGCATCGCAAGCCAAAGGTTCAGAGAGTTAATTCAGATTTAGAGGCAAGGATCCAACACACATTTTAGACAAGTTCAATTCATAATGTTATAAATGGAACCATAACTTTTATATATATCACTTTTGGAACATAACACCTTTGAGAAAGGTTCTTTAATTTCACCTCTAACGTAGTGTGCCTTGCTTGACGCTTAAATCTCTCTCGCACGTCTCCCCCCCAGACGACCTCGCCTATCAGTGCGAAATTGTTGTTGTGCCTGATTGCACAAACCAGCCCAGTCTTTTACCTGGGAGACGTGCCACAAATAACTTTCGTTATATATATGGTGTGTTTCTGATGCTGCTATCAGAAAAGAAAAGATATAAGGCTTCGACAGTCTCGCCTAGATGCTGAGGAGGCACTTGACTGTGCAAAACAGCCATTTATATCAAAGAACGGCAGAAGTTTGGAAGATTTGGAAGAAGATAGATTTGGCAGATGGCCAGGGAGGCTCCTACCACGGGGACAGTGGAGTCCATCCCCCCCAGACCTTTATAAGCGTTGCCAAAACCTTTTTATGTCGTTCTGTCTTAACAGCGACATGCAGAGAGGCTGTAATGTGGAAAAGGGAGGTAACAATGGGGATCGCCTTAGGCCAGTTTCAACCCCCTGCTTTTCTCCCAGGCAAAAGCAATTTAGCTTTAATAGTATATATAAAAAAATATTTAAAAAAATATTAAACCCCTTATTTGAGTTCTGCTTGTGTAGGTGAAGAAAGAAGGACTTTCTGAACTCATCTGAAGCGTATTAGTAGGTAAGGGATTACATTAACATACACTCGAAGGTCACATAAAGGCAGTTTTCATTTCATTTCACTACAGAGTTTACCCATGTGCCACATTTCTTCGTGTTTAGCAAAGACAAGCCCCAGGGTCATTCAGAACTTTAATTACATTAGAATAACACGGTAAGAGGTCCTTTTATTTTGATAATTTACAATACCAGCTATTGAAATGAGCTTTGCAATTAATTTGGGAAATACACAAAGTGACACTTCTATCCCAGTCTTTTGTGGACAGAGGAAAATTCGCTGTGTGCTTAATAGCTGTAATAGCCCAAGACCAGGTTTTCTTACAATAATTACACTTTCTCTTGAATTTATTGAGGTTCAAGCTTTCAGTTATCTGCTGGGACCACTTCATTTATGCATGAAGCATCTCAGCCCACTTATGCAGAAGAAAAAGCGGGGAGATACAGACTCTCGTTTGAACACAAAATTCTCCATAGATCTCTTACTCTTTTTTTTTAACTAATATCTAATGAAGTTATAGATTCCTTGTGCATTTTTGTGCCTGTCCAGGAGCCCTCGGGGGAATTTTGCAGGCTATGTGCAAGTTCGAAGAAACAGGTATGGGGCAACTTGGGCTACAGCATGCCTAAGTGTCTTTCCAATGGCCATTTTTTTCTTTCTTCCAACACATGAAAACTAAATATTCTCATCTTTTGACTATTATCTTAATAATAAATAACCCATGGTGTTCTTGCTTTCTCTGGTATTGCTCTCTTATACTTGTCCACATCCACTACTTCTGGGTTAAGATCCCAAGCAGCTAAAAGCATTAGAGCCACCACTAACAGATGGGCTTGCATAGCATATGGGTAAATCACAATTTCAGGTTTAGGGGACATCTTCCTCACCCCAAATCATTTTAGAAAACAAAGATTTAGATTCTCGTGTTGCAGTGACTGTGTAGGGCCATCCAAAAGCCAGGTGATAAATCACATCAGCTTTGGAGATGGGACGCTGTCTTATGATGATGGCAATGGGAAGAAGCTGAATTGACATTTCCTTGACGTATCTGGAAGGTACACGTTCCTCATAACACAATTTTATCACAATCATCATTTTGCTGTGCTGAGAAGCTTTTCCCTGGTCTGCAACCAGACACACCAAAATTACAGTTAAGTCACTATGGGAAATAAAATGAGCTTCCTACTCCTTCAAATTAAAAGGAGGGTGCAGGCTGGACAAGAAACACACTGCTGCAATAGGACTTGATTGACTTTAATGTGGAAACAATTGCACAGTTTAATATATTCCCTTGCCAGAAAACTGGGAATTTGTTTCCAAAAAAGGGCAAAGGCCTCCGGGATGTGTCCTGATTCTCTGTCATTTGACCTGTGCTGTTGTCAATGATTTACCACGGCGTTTTGGAGTCCGGTGGGCTCCCTGCTTCTTCTAGAGGTGCTTGCCCCACAGCATCCTGAAGCCTAAAGCTTTCATTTGCAGCTAATCTATAGCAAACATTTACATATGGAAAAACAATGCGGTGGAGCCTGTGTCAGCTTTCTCCTTTGATTCTGTCTATGTGTTCGCTGGCTTTAACGGCACGTCATCAGGCCACGGCTACAGCATGCGGGGAGCTGGAGGCATTGCCTTCCCAGAGGTAAGTCTGTTACCCCCCAACTTTACATATAGAAATTACAGGCAAGTCAGTCAGCCCATCAATTTTGTCCTGACTTGAGGCATGTGCTCACTCTGCTCTCTGTAAACAGCTACCAGGAAAAAAAAATATTGGCAGTTGTCCAAAGCCCAAGCTAGGCATCGTAATTCCTTCTTATATCAACTGTTTGCACAATGGTTTTTCTTTTACAGATGACTATTAAGCCTTCTTAAACTTCCTTACCAAAATTACTATACTGGGTTTGGGCACTTGAAATG